CTCCGTGGGGATTTGCATCAACCTCCGCCCCAAATGTCTCTGCCACAGGTCCAGCCCTGTAGCCAGATGCTGATAAATGGGGCTTCTCTCAGGACAGGGTCTGAGCAGCCTGAGGAGGGGGAGAGGTAGTAAGATGGTGCCACCATCCCAGATCCTCGGGCTCTTGCTCCTATGTTCCAGGTGAAAGAATGTCTCCAAGTGGAGGGTTCCCTTGGGGCAGGTTTTGTTCTCCCTAAGAGGAGCAGTTGTTGTTTTGTTGTTGTTGTTGTTGTTGTTGTTTTATTGACTGATTTCTTTACAGAGACTGAGTGTGTGCTCAAAAGCAGTAGAGAGAAAGAGAGAGAAAGAGAGAGAGAATTCCAGCAGGGTCCACACTCTCAGCACCGGGTCTGACTTAGGGCTCGATCTCATGAACTGAGATCATGACCTGAACCAATTTCAAGAGTCAGCTGCTTAACCGACTGAGCCACCCACACACCCCAGCACCCGATACATTAAAACCGTCTCCCAACTCACACCCTGTGAACTGCTGACATGCCCTGTAGCCTCAGTTTCCTCTAAAAGTTTCCTCAGCTTGTGCGCTCCCTCGGCAGCCCTCTCAGGGAGCTCCCATTACCCCCTTCATTTGCCACTTCTAGACCTCCTACCTAAAAACTGAAAACCCAGCCTTTGAAATCCATAAGGTAGACTATGTCACCCAGTACCACTCCTTCCTGCACACAAACACCAGGCCCAAAGCCTCTCCTCATTTCTGGAAGGTTTTAGTTCCTGACTCATAGACCCTCCCACATGCCTGCTGGTTTCAATACAATCATATAGGATCCTTCCATTATCCTGCTCTCTCAGTTGTTTCATTGATTCTCCTCCAACTATCTCTTCCCCACCCAATCTTGATCATTCACTCTCATGGCCATACCTTAGACACGTCGCTAGAAAATAATGGCAGCTACCCCATTATTAAAATGCTAAGCATCTCAGGCTCTCCCACTTCTAAGAGCTCTGCAGCTCACTGCACCTACCGTGGCCATAGCCGCAATTTCTAGCTTTCATTAGACTGAGACCTGACATCGATAGGAAAATATATGTTGTCTTGCCACGGAAAATTCGGCATGTCTGTAGTGTGCCTGTCTGGGATATCTCTAACCCTGTTCATTGTCTTTGAGCTATCCTGCAACTCTTTCTAAATTGTTGGTAACTAGTAGATGCATGATTCTGTCCTGTCTAGTAGTCATTTAATTGACTTCTTACGTCACCTTGGAAAACTACTTTCCTTCCATCTACAATGAATTCCTTCACTCCATATATACGTGTGATTTGACTTTCCCTTTGAACGACTTACAACATCTTCCTAGTTCCACTCATGATGTGAGTGAAATCATTTAACATGTGTTCATTAATATTAATTCTCCATGAGAGTCAGAATTTTAGTGTTTTCTGGAAATTATCACTTAACATATCTATTGACCTATCTACATTTTCTCTATGCCTAAATCCCTCATAGTCTCATTTCCCTCCTTATTCAGCTTAAATTCCATGATCCTTCTTTATAATGACTCTTTTATAAACAAGAACTTCCTCACCTTTCATTATTTCATTACATGCAACAAAATCCCAACCTTCTACATGCCTGCTGGAGAAAAACACAGAGCAATTCTGACTTCTCTCAACTTCAGATTCATGGCCTATCACTTTCTGAGGGCCCTTAATGCTGCCCCACAAACGTATCTCATTTCCCTGGTCTATTCAGTCTCCATTCCTTTGCTTGCTTGCTTGCTTGCTTGCTTGCTTGCTTTTTTTCTTTCTTTCTCTCTTTCTTCAAGTCCTAACAGCTCCTCCACTATCCAAACTTAAAACCAAGTACCCCATTTCCTATTTCCCAAGTGAACAGAGGGGATCAAAGGAGAACATCCACGGGCTGCTCATCTCTCTTCTGACCCTCTGGTACGGGTATTGCCAAACTCCGCCTTTCCTCCTGCCTTGAGAGGAGGTGGACGGCCCTCCCATCTGAGGCCCCTCCCTCTGAAACTATATGTCCTGCCTCCTCCACTGAATTGCTTGATACTTCTCCCCAATTCCTGAATTATCAGTGTTCTCCTCTCAAGCATGATTTCCATCAGTATGCAAACATCTTTAAAAAAAAAAAAAGAAAAAGAACCTCTATGATATCACATCTCCTGCCAGTTATGGTCTATCTCACTCTTCTCCTTCACCATAAAGCTCACTGGCTGAGATGTCTACAGTCACCATCCCCAGATCCTCTACCCTCATTCTTTCTTGAGCTTTCTACAATCAAGGGCCTAAATCAACCATCTCATTGAATCTTCTCTTCTCAAGGTCACCAGTGATCTCCACATCACCAAGTCCAATGGCCACATGCCAGTCCTCATCTCACTAGACCTATCAGAGCATTTAGAATACTGATGACGCTTTCTTCCTTGATCTACCTTTTGCTCTGGATTCCGGGGCATCACACCATCTTGCTGGTCTTCCATCCCTCTGCTCCTTCACAGAATCCTTTGCTGGTTCCTCCTTCTCACTCCTGCCTCAGAGCTCAGCCCCTGGGCTTCTGATCTAGGCAACAACATGCCAATGCTTATCATATTCCAAGCTCCAGTGCAATCCTCTTCCTGAACCCTAGACTCGTATATCCGATGGCTACTTGACAGCTGCATGTGGAGATCTAACACACATCTCTAACTTGAAATGTCCAACACCAAATTCCTGATCTACTCCCCCAAATCCTCTCTCCCACAGTCTTCTCTATTGGAACAGATGGCAACTCCACCCTTCTAGTACTCAGAGAGAAATTCTGGAGTCACACTGAGACCTTTCTTTCTCTCACACTCCTTGTCAAAACCATCAGCATATTATTATCTCTGTCTTCAAAATACACCACTCGTTCCATCCTCCACTGCCATAGCACAGACCTGAGATATCATCCTCTCTACCCTGGATCATAGTAGTGGCCATCCAACTGTTATCTTTCCAGATGGCCTCCCAGAGAGATCCTGTTAAACAACGAACCAAACTATGCCCTGCTCTACTCATACTCTCTCACTTACCTCATCATTCAAAGTAAAAACCAAATCGTTAGAGAAGCCTACACAGTACTGTATACAGTGTCCTATCTGTGATTTCTTTGATCACATTTCCACTACTCTCCCCCTTGTACACTCCATTGGCAACATTGGCTTCCTTCTACTTCGCCAACGTGCTGATCTCATTCCTGCCTCAGAAATGTGCTGTTTCCTCTACTTAGAACCAACTACAGCTCTACTGCCTAAGAGTACTTCTATGGTTCCTTTCCTCACCACATTGAAACATTGGTTAAGTCACACCTCAGTGCAACCCTCTATGATCCTCTAGAGTAGATTGATTGCAAATACAGATCCCCCATTCTTTACTCCTCCCCTACCCATGCCTTTTGTAATATAACTTTGCAGCTCCTTCTATCAAGAGCTCGGGTCAATTAACCCTCACTTCAAAAGGATCAACTGCATGGATCATTACAACACATCAGATGGGGAATTCTGCCGGTACTAAGTTTAGGCTTCAAGATGCCTCGTGTGCTTTTACTTTCTCACTTGGGGCCCTGCCACCTGTCACTGAAGGTTGAGTTTAGCCTGCCACACAATGAGTGCCAAGAGGCCCGGACAGCCAGACGGCCCCAGCTGATAGTCACAGCAATGTGAAAGAGAGGAAAGAAATGTGAGGCTTTCTGTAACAAAAGTACCTACTTGACCTGTCAGCTAACTTTCAACACACAACAAGCCAGCCAAGGCCAATCAAGACCAATCAGGCCTGCTCCATATTAACACAACTGCACAGCCAACCAATAAACATGACAACAATAAACATACTACTATTCTAAGCCACTACATTTTGGAGGTGACTTATTAAATGACAATAGCTAACAAATACATCATCCGATTTTAAATTTCTACTCACTCTTACCCCAGCAAGCTTTGAATCCCTTCATTTTTCTTTATAGCACTTGCAAAACAACATAGTAAGTATTGAGTAAGTATTGATATTGATATTGGTATTGATACAGGTATTTATTACCTGTTCCTCCCAGCTGGGGTGAAAGCAGATACCTTTGTTCATGACACATAGTAAGCACTCCAAAATCAGATCTGGAATGAATGATATGGATTCCTTAATTTGGTAACTTTAACCATATTTCTAATCATTATGAAAAGCTGTTTTGTATGTAAGAGTGTTCAGAATACACTGACCCGGTTTGATGTGGTCTTTCCTGAAGCCAAATTGCATCAAACCATGTATCTCAGAAGGAGGTGAAGCAATCAGACTAAAATTCTTGGGATTATTCCTATTTTTACACTGACATGGGTTTCTTAATTAAATGCTTTCCAAGGGACCCAAGTTATAGATCACTTAGGGCTGTGAATCCTTTCAGTCACATTAGACCTGAATGCCGAAGGGAAGACTTTAAAGAAAGAGGTGACAAATGGTTAGAACAGGTGCTGAGGAACTAGCCCATATTTCTAGACTGATGAGATGAAAGAATTAGACAGTTGCCTTTGTAAGAAAGTACACCTGGAAAAGATGGAGAGAGAGAAAGGAGGTATGAAAGGAGATAGAGCAGAAATGAACATCAGGTACATTGGCCAGAAAAGCTGGAAAATAGAGCCTATGGAGGATAAATGAGAAAGGAATGCTACCTTCCACATAGGAGGTTCTGAATTGGAGAGGTCAAAGGTTTAATATTGGGAAAGGCCAGAGTTGAAAGGTGACTATGGGTGAAGAAAGGAAACCAAGAGAATAAGGAAATACAAGAGAAATGTTCCCGAGTCAAGGAGGCACACGGAAGACACAATTCATCCATCAGGGTGTCAAATTTGCTGGACCTTTCACCAAAGGTAGAGACGAATCTTACTGGCTCAACTATGCCATCTGTCCGTGCAAAACACACCAGGATCTGTGACACAAAAACTCCTGACAGCCTCTCTAAGACATCTTTACCACACTTGTGTTCACTAATCTTCACTAAAAGGGATCCAGAAAAAGCCACCCCCATTAATTTTCCTCTTGGCTTTAAACAGCCCTTCAAGGAAGAAATCGGGAGAGGTGGCTTCTAAGGCAGACCCAGGAACGTGCACATTCAGAGCTGAGCAGGGAGGCAGCAGCAGGTGCAGCGAAGCCTCCCTGACCCAGGGCCCTGGGAAGGAGGTTTGTGTACGAGGCTGAAGCACTGTGGGAGGAGTGCTATAATCCTGCTGACAGTAATAAGTCGCCACGTCTTCAGCCTGGAGGTTGTTGATGGTGAGGGTGAAATCTGTCCCAGACCCACTGCCGCTGAATCGGTCGGGGACTCCAGATGCCCGGTTGGATGCACCGTAGATGAGCAGCTTAGGTCGCTGTCCTGGTTTCTGTTGGTACCAGTTGATGTAGTTGCTAACACTCTGACTGGCCCTGCAGTTCATGGTGACCCGCTGACCCAGGGAGGCTGGAGACTGCGTCATCGTGATCGCCCCGCAGGCACCTGCAATCACGAGGAGGTAATGATGATACATAGGCACTTCAGAGCAGACACACTGAAATAAGGCATTGAGGAGTGGTAACGTGTCAGCCCATAATTGGAGCTAGTTTGTAAATAGCCAGTGTTTCTCATTATATCTTTCAAAAAATGTTTTTAACTCTAAAATGATACTACTCCAAAGGCATGTGGCAAATAAGAAATTTCTCACCTGAGACCCACAGCAACAAGGATATGAGGACCTGCCTCTGTGACACCATCTTGCTGTCCCTGCCTGCCCGATGCAGCTTAGCTTACATGGCAAAGGCCCCTTTTATCAAACCTGAGTAGCTGCTCTGGGCCTGGGGGACTGGGGTGGGGAGAATTCTATGCAAAACAACTGGTGAGTAAAGAAGCAAACTGCACGAGAAGTGGGTTATGAAAGTATCTAATGTAAATTTAGAGAGAAAAAAAATCTCCAAAAATATAGCTGTAGGATGAGAAACACTGAAGTCAACCTAAAAACTATTCGAACAACTTAGAAGTTAAAATGACAAACTGCCTCAAGATGTAATGGTGAGCTTCTAATTGAAATTCAAGAATGTTGTTAAATGATTTGAGTTTCCAGAAATGAAATGCTAGGTTGAGTCGATGGAAGGGAGGGGAGAAATGAATGGAAGGCACAAGAAGAAAATGGAGAATTTTGGTCCCAATATTTTATAAAATTTGACCAAAATTATTGGGACTCTAAAGCCTTTTTTTCCTGCAGCTCTATAAGGATGCTGCAAGTCCTTGAGCTCGGTTTTGGAGCTGTGCAACGGGCCAGTGAGATGGGAGACAGGCTCAAACTTACACACTGCGGGAGAAATGTGAGACTCTAATTTGATCCAAGGGAAGTCTGAATCCTGATTTTTAGTTATTCTATTTTTTCAGTTCAATATTTCCATACTGTGTGAAATTAGCCAGTCAAATAACTCTAGGTTCTTTCAAGAAAACTTAGCTCCAGGGTGCCTGGGTGGCTCAATCAGTTGTTGAGCATCTTACTTTGGCTCAGATCATGACCCTGCAGTGTGTGAGTTGAAGCTCCAGATGTGTCTCCAGCCCAACACTGGTTCACTGCTGTCAGCCCAGAGCCCACTTTGGATCCTCTCTTCCTCTCTCTGCCCCTACCATGGTTCCCATTCTCTCTATATATCTCTCTCATAAATAAATACACATTAAAAAAAAGAGAGAGAGAAAGAAAAGAAAATTTCTTTCCATCCAATGTTGAGAAATCAGATAAGGGTTGCCTGTTCCTAGTCCTGCTGTTCATTCTCCAGCAGAGGGAAGGGTGGGGTTGGGGTGGGGGGCGTGCAATTCCCTTAAGAAACTGAGTGTGCATCACCAACAAGAGAACATAGGATTTTGGGGCTACAGGTCTACTGCACGTCCAGCTACTTATCTCTTCCAGACGCTTCTGAGTGTGGTGGATACATGTCACTTACTTGGTCAGGTGGCACATTGGCTTTTCTACGGGTGTCCATGTGGCTTCTGCACCGCTTCTGGGCCTAAGAAATTTCATAAGACCCAGCCTTACTCTGTATCGAATAGACCCCAGTTGGTGATCCATACCTCACCCTCACAAAAGGTCAATTCTCCCATCACTCAGCCCCCCAGTTTTCCCCCAGTGACAGTTAATTTTCTGTGTCACCTTAACTAGCCTATGGCGTGCAGTGGTGTGGTCAAATGCCAATTTGGATATTGTCCTGAAGGTAGTTTTTGGTGTGATTAACATTTAAATTAGTAGATCTTGCATAACACATGTTACTCTCCATAATGACGGAGGGGGCCTCATCCAATCAGTTGAAGGCTTTAAGAAGCAAGACTGTGGTTTCCCAAAGGAGAAGCGATGCTTCCTTAAGATGCAACAATAGAAACTCGGCCTTAGTTTCCAACCTACAGATTTCCCACTCAAGGCTGCATTATCAACACCAACGTGAATTTCCAGCCTGCCAGCCTGCTCTACAGACTCTGGACTCGACACCACCCATACTCAATTCTCACAACCTCTGTCTCCAAGGATATCTCATTGGTTGTGCATCTCTGAAGGATCCTGACTCATAACACTCTTCACATCCCCCAGGTCCCACCTCTTCAGGCTAGAAGAATACCTGGCACAGCACTCAGTTCTGCCTCCCCACTGTCCTTTCCATAGACCATTCTTATCACTTCTCTTACTTTTCAAAGCTCTCATGAGGCAGGACTCAACTGCTGGGCTGCATATATGGGACATCTAGAAAGACAGGTGGAACATGTCTGTTCCCGCCAATTCTCTCCCCTTTGCAAAAAACTTAAGGGAAAAATCCAACAGTATTTCTTTTTTTTAAGTTTATTTATTTATTTTGAGAGAGAACACAAGGGACTGTGTCCATCCAAAGCTTCCTTTTTTGACAACCCCAAAGACTCAAACCTTCAGTCAATCTAATATTGAGATCTTGAGGTGAAACCTGCAAAGAAATTTGCCCACAGCATGGTCTTTGAATCCCATATCTGACATACACTCTGAGAACCAGGCAAAAAAAAAAAAAAAAAAAAAAATGAGGAGCCCATGTCCAAGAAAATTCTACTACTGCTGCTACTACTAATAATAAACAGCAATAACGACACAGTCTATTGCCATGTGCTGAATGCACGAAGACCTGCTGTGTGTTCAGTGGTGCACTAAGGCCTTACTGGTCTACAGCAATCAGTCGCACAATAATCCTCTAGAGATGAGAGGTTCTCGGTGTTAAGGTTGTTCAAGGTACCAGTGCTTGTAGGGAAGCAGATAGGAAAAACATCAGATCCCAAGCCCATAATGCCTACTCATGGTTGAACTCACTCATTTAAAAAATAAAGCGCCTTTACTGTGATAATGTGAATTTAAAGTGTACACCTGGGTGAACACGAGCAGATACATCCCCCCTCTCACCACCACTCAGATCCAGACAGACACACCCTCCCCAACATCACACTTTTCCCTCATGCACCTTCCAACAATGCCATGTCCCATCCCTACCACCAGAGGGCGCCATCACCTTTCAAATTTCCTCACCATGTAGTGCAGACTTTCTCTGTTCTTGTACTTCATGTAAATGGAATCATGAAGTATCTACTTTCCGGTGTCTTGCTTCGTTGGTTCAACATGTTCTTTGACCTCCCTCTATGTTGTTATTGTGGCAGTAACTTGTTCCTTTTCACTGCAGAATAGTTTGTTGTTACAAGAAAATGTCACAGTATTTTCATTTTTCAATAAATGAATGGGTTCATATTTGAACATGTTATCATTACAGTTCTTAAGAACATGGTTTCAAAGTCTTTGGTGGAGTTATGCACTCACTTCCCATGGGTGTGTTCTGAGGCATGAAAGCACTGAGTCACAGAGCTAGCCTCAGCTTTGGTAGATACAATGGAACAGTTTTCTGAAATGGGGAACATCTTTACCCTCCACCACCATGTGCAACATATCCACTTGCTGTAAATCCTTTCTCCATACTTGCTATTATCAGACTGTTTATTATATACATACTGGTAGATACTGAAATAGTTTTGTTGTTAACATTTACATCTCCGTGAAGACTAATGTTCAAGTAATTCACCGTAGGTATTACTATTGAGATGCTGTTTAGATAGTTTGTTTCTTGGGCGGTGCTTGTTCTAGTCAGACACACACACAGTCGTCTTTTCTTTTCTTTTCTTTTTTTTTTTTTTTTTTTGAGATTCCTTATTTTCTGGGACCCAAGCGGCAGGTGTGAGAGTCGGACAGGAGGTGCTTCCAGGAGATCAGAGAAGCCGGGTTCAGAGTGGGGCTACCTTGTGTGTTCCTTATAAACTGAAAGTGGATCTTTTGTCAGAAATGTGCAGGAAAATATCCTCTCCCATTTTATGGTTTATCTATTTACTTCATTAATGATACATTTGCAAAGGAATTATTAACTCTAATGGGGTCTAATTTTTTTCTTTTCTTTCTCTTCTCATTTTGAGGGGCTGGGGAGAAGTGGATCTGTGCAACAGATCTGATGTTCCTTCTTGTTAGGAAATGACTTTATGCATGGCTAAGTATGTCTGAAACTGCTTCCACTGTTTTCTGGTACTCAGATTGGGGGTAAGTAGTTTATTCCCACCAACATATAACTCTCAGTGTCTATGGATATAACCACAAATAACAATAAATTATTAGTTGTGCGTGCCTGAACTGGCATGGGTCCATTTGCCCAGGGGATACTGGCATGAGAGCCTCCATTGGCTTGAGTTCACTGAGGTAATGGGAATGATGGAGAGGAGGGCCTGCGGTGTGTTGCTTAGATTCCCCTTCACAAATAAAGGCTGGACCCCTGCAGGTGCTAAGGTCGGCCTCCTGTCCACCCTCTGCAGGTCACCCTCTGAGGACATTACCTTGCGGAAGAACGACCTGGCCCATGGTTTCACTTCTTTTCCAGTAAAGACAATACTTACTGTATTCAGGGGCACAAAGCCCAGCTCTCTTGCTCCACTCCAAGTCAACTCTGTAGAGCGATTACATGTCTAGACCTCCCTGTGGGGTAGGCAGTGGCTTCTCTTGAACCCCCATGACAGCTCAGTTTCTCTATCTGTCCAATCCTGCTTCCTGTCTCTCCATTCCAGAGATGTGCATCTCAAGAACACTCAGTAATAAATAAGTCTGAAATCTCTCTCTCTCAGAGTTGGTTTCCCAGGGGATCTTGGGATTCTTATGGGGAATGGGTTTCCCACTGTCACCCTGTGACAAATGGGATCAGGGAGCAGCACAGGCCAGAAAGTAGTGATCACCTTTCACAGGTAGAGTGTGTACAGTTTCCAAAAGGGCCAGCAGGTGCAGAGCGATGTGAGAAATTGGGATCTGTAGCAGTGACTAATCGATCATGAGTTATTAGGGATTTATTCCATGTGTAGACTGTTATACCAAGAGACACAGAGACCACCCGAGACCACTGAAGCTGAATTAAGAGCATCTTTATTACCGGCCGCGACCGGACAGAATTAACACAGAACTCTAAATGTGCAGCCCCAAGTCCAAAGACTTAGGACGTTTTATAACGAGCAAGCAGGCAAGTGGGCAGTACAGAAGCAGAATTAAGCGGTTATTGTAAAAAGGCTACAAAGTGATAAAGAGACTAGCCCTTATCCTGCTGTGTAGGAAAACATTCATTATTCTGAAGGCAAGGTTGAGGGTTTGGGGGAGTTTCAAGGGAATAGCCATTATCTCAAGGACAAAATAAGCAAACTGTGTCATGAATAACCATTAATATGGAACATTAACCCTCGTCTTCTTATTGGTAGTTTTCCTT